AGCTGTGAGATGATGGGAAGCACCCGTTGTGCCCAGAGAACAGGGGATATCAAGGGAGTCCCATGTGGTGCCACCAGCATATCCAGCGCTGGGGACCGCAGCTGAGGATGTGCATTTCGCCTCTCATTTCTGCCAGGCAGTCGCTCGTGCTCCCTCAGCCCCAGCTGCTCTGTGCAGTTAATTCCCCCCCCCACCCCGAACAGGATTTTCAGAGTGGCAAAATATTATTAAAATGTGTGAAAAACTTCTCCCATGCAGAAATAAATGTGTCAGGATGGAAACAAGGGCAAGTGGAGGACGGAAATGCGTGGAGGAGGGACAGGCACAGAGGGTCCCTCCCCAGCAGCAGCGTTTCTGCCATTGCGTTGGGCTGAACTGCATAATATAGCTTACGGTTTAATTACAGGGGCTCCTGCTCATTGGTGTCATTAATGAGGCATCTGGCTTAATTTAGCTGAATAAAAATGGCTTTAATAGCGGAAACACTTTTGGCTGCTGGGTAATTGTGGGAGAAGAAAACATGTTATCTCCTTTTGCACTGAAGTCCACTTGTTCTGGGCTGCATGGACCCAGATTCCTCTCCTGGCCCACGCCCATCCTCCCCTTTTTCAGTGCACGATCTTGTTCAGCAGATGTAGCTCTGTGCCCCCATCTGTCACTTGTGCTGGGACAAAATGGCAATGGTCACCTACCCTGCTGGTCACCAGCAAGGTCTCCCCAGTTCCTGTGGGAGACCTTGCAGGACACAGCGTGTCCCCTCCTGAGACACAGGAGGAGGATGGTGGGAGAAAGCAAGAATTGGGACTTTGCTGTCACTGGGTGATAATGTCCCACCTTTGAGGTATGCGTGGGGTTGCTGGTGGGGATATGGTGTGATGAGTCACCTGCAAAGCACGAGGCTCAGGAGCATGGCTGCTGCGGCAGGAGGAGAGCGGTGTGGTGCTGAGCCTGAGTCATGGGTGGGTTGGGTGTCTGTTGCCCTGGACCTGGTCCAGGTGAGCTCCATCCAACACCCTCTCCCTACACAGCTCCTTTGAAACCTGCTCTGGAGACAAAAAAGAACCTGTCAGCTATTTCTAAAGACTGTCTCTGTGGAAAATGGCATCTTGTGAGTGATGGAGAAAATGCCCTATGGCAAAGAAGTAGTTTGAATATGTTCCAGGAGCGTTGATGGCAGGTCTATCCTGAGACAGACAGGCTTCTGTTCACCACTGAGAAATATGCAGGGAAGGTGTTTTGCTTCTCCGCCTGTGTTTCCTCAATGTGTGATGTGCTGTATTTTATTACAGGTGGGGCTGATGCATAGGATGTTATAAAGGTTGTCTGGCATGCTCTGCTACAGGACTGCTTCCACTTTCCTATAACTCTGCCAAATTTTAATTGCTTGGGTTGAAGTTTTCTGTGTTGGGTGTCTGCTCCTGGCTAAATTAATATTTTTTATTATTATTATTTCTTTCTAGTTTCAAATAAAAACCTGCTCAACTGTTTGAGGTAATGGAAGGGAGGAGGGGGAAACGGGCTATTTTGCTTAAGCTAGAAAATACAGGGGGATGCTCCTGTTACAGAGCACATGCACCCTCCTTTTGTTGGGGGAAAGTAACTTTATCAAAGGGCAGATTTTGCTTGGAAAAATGGATTTTGTTCTGGGATATCTCCTTATGTAGGCAGAGTGCCTCTTGATCCAGTTGGAGGGGAGAAGTTTTGCAAAGGGTGTTTGGGAGGAGATAAGGAGCAGCAGCTCTTGTTGGGACACTGGGGTTGGACTGGGAGAACATAAAGACAAAGCTCACATGAAATTTGGGCATGGATAAGGACACTGGGGCTGAGAGGTAATTGGGAGTGGCTGGAGAGTGATGGGTAGTGTGATTCAGCCTGCTGAGGAGAAGCAGCTGAGTGGGAGGGAAGGCAAATGGGTCGGGGAGGAGAGACCTGGTGCTGCCCAGTCATGGGTGCAGGAGGGTGGGGTATCAGGTCACTGCAAACAATGGGGATCTGCATCTGACAACAGACTTTAGGCCTGGGATGCAGCAGTGGGAAGGCAGAATGGGCAGCTGGAGCTGGGAGAGGATTAGTCCCGGCTGGGGAGGGCCTTGATTTTCCCCAATCCTCCCCAGTTATGCTCTGCAAAATACTGGGAAATTCAGTGCGCACAGTCAAACTTCAAGCACCGGGAGATCTTTGTAAGCACTGAACAGGAGTTACAAACTGTCGGAGCTGCGTTTACCCGTGGAGCCATAATTTACTCTCCTCATGTGCATGTACTGCGATACAGTCTCTAATTACACATTTCCCTGGGAAACCTACCCCATCCAGTGTGTGGGATGGATCTGTGCTGGGGAGAAATCAGTGCTGTGCTCTCTGTCTTTTATAGCAGAAGCTGGAAAGATGTACCCTTTGCATGTGGAAACCTAATCCTGGCATCTCTCACTTCTGGACTTTTTGTGACCAAAATGGTGTATTTTTAATGTGTGTTTATGTGTGCAGCCCCTTTCTGTCTCTGTGCTGAGATCAGGAACCTTTCTGACATTTTAAAGTGTCTGAGGTGTCTGTTTCCAGTGGCAAACATGTTCCTCCCTGTGTGTGTCTTGTCCAATCTGAAATGGAGCTGTTGGTGCGCGTCCCTCTGACCGGCTCTGCAGAAGTTGATGGTCAGATCGGATCGGACACCGGCTTTGCCCTTCGAAAGCAGTCTCTCCTACAAGATGTGTGCAAGTGAAGACCCATTTCCTCTTTGCCTAATACTTGCTGTGGTTTGTTGTCTGGGGGAGGGAGGAGGTGGTAGGAGTTGGTTTCCAGGGACTGCAGGAGATGAGAAGAGGAGCACATCTGCCTGGCAAAGCTCCTTGCATTAGTGAGGATGTTTCCTTTCTCCATCTCTGTGTCCTAAATTGTAATAACACGATCATGCTATTTTTGATTCTCTTATTTGCGTGGAAAGCCTGTTGTTTTTTCTCTTCTCTTTCAGAATCCAATTTTCTCTTGACATTTCTGCCTAATGTAGCAAAACATGACCTTTGAGAAAGGACATTCCAGCAAGATTCACTCCCTCCTCTGCATCTCTGCCTCTCTCCCACATCTTGCTGTCTCTCATGCATCCCCCTTTACGCTTCCTTCTTCTCCCTGGGTTGGGGGAGGGAGTTTACTGTCTCACTTTTCAGTAGCAGTGAGCTGCTCCTTCCCCTCCTACTTTTCATCTGTCATTGCAAAGTTTCCAGGTGCTCAGTGCTCTGGGGTGGATAAAAGAGGGAGTTTTGCAATACTCCTCCCCCCTGCTTAGCTTCACCTGCTATTTTTGCCACCTTTCCAAACTTTGTCAGAGGCTGGAAGCAGTTTGTATACAGCTGTAGGAGTGGTGGGATCTTAGTCATGTGAAACGAGGTACCTGTGGTTTCCGCAGCGGGGTAGTCTACTGTGAAGCAGAGACAGAATTTAATCATGCAGTGCTGTGCCATCATGGTGTTTGGGCTTATTCTTCTGCCAGGCTCATGGAGAGCCTCTGGGATGATGGGTTGCTGTGTGAGCTGCAGCAGCTTCCCCACTCCTCATTGCAGAGTTTTGGGCTTCAGAGCACCGCATGGTAGCAGGTGGGACAGGACCAGAGTTGCTTTTCCCTTGTCGGTCCCTGGGTTGTGCCCTCTCTGCATTTGCCCAACACATCTCCACTCTCGCTGCAACTCAGTGTAAGATGACACGTGAATCTCTCATCCCAAATCCTTGTGCACCAGACCTGCACTGGCAGGATCCATTCTAGGATTTGCACTCTTGGTTTTAGCATGTTCCGGCAAATTAGACAGGAATTGTGTGATGAGCCTGGCATGGCTGGGCTGCCCGTTGTCACCTCTGTGCCACTTTGTCCCGTACCTCCTCTCTGGCCAGCCAAGGGTTTAATGAACCTCTTGATGGTTCATACTTCTGGCCCTTCATTACTCTTTCCAGCTAGCAGGGCTGTGGCAAGAGGGTGCCAGCAGCCTCGCACCGAGCTGCCCTGCCCACCCACAGCCCACCCGGGTGGCTCGCAGTGGGGAGGGAGCTGGCGGGGATATGGGTGGATTCAACAAAGGATGCAAGGCAGCACCTCCTGTGTTTTCTGGAGGCCTGCATAGGTATGGGAGGATTTCGGTTTCTTCCAGAGCTTGTGACCACCTGTCCCTCTGCTCATCCCATAGGCTGGTCCCTCATTTGGAGGCTCTCAGGCTGGCCACATGTCCCCAGGAAGGCTGCCCACTACAGAAAGATTTTCATCATCATCTTCTCAAGCCATTAGAAACCTGGGGCTCTTCTCTTTCTATTCACTCTGCCCCAAACACTTTTCTTCCTCTTGTTTTTAGTACTTCGGTTGCTTTTACGCTCTTTCATCATCTCTGGCTTTCAGCTGAAGAGGCGCTGTCTGCTGGGTTGCAAAGCTCTCCCAGGTATATGAGATTTATGTTTTTGCAAGTTTGGGCAGATGGAGAGAGGGATGGGAAGCTGTTGGCTGCTGTAGCAGCGGTACCCCTGGGTGCAAACAACACAGCCACACCAGGACACTTTGAGGGCACAGCTATTGCAGGTCATATGATAACATCTTGGGTAATCATCGTGCTGTCATTTGAACCTGGCTGTTACTATTTTTAACATGAGGTTTGTGCTTAACTTTTTGTCCAAGTTATAACATCAGGCTTGTTCTTTCTGCTCATGGTTGGTCAAACTCCAGATTCACGAGCAAGAATCAGACGCATCTTCCTCTGTTTGGATTTTTTTTCTTAGCATTGCAGCAGGATATAAAACATTTTCTCCCATGGTAAAAAAAAAAAAAAAGAGCAAAATGAGAAACTTCCATTTGGGTTTGTCCTCATTAAAATCTCTCATTATGAAATCTAAACTTGGGTCCTAAACTACTTAACAGCCTCCCTATTGAGGAGGACGATGAGCTCTGCAGAGGCGATAGGGCCACGTGCAGTAGGAATTATTTACTGTGACTTCTTTTTTTTTTTTTTTTTTTTCTTCTTGTTAATTTTCAGAGACCTCTCTGGGAACCGGCTCACCACTCTGTCATGGCAACTCTTCCAGACCCTGCGACTCTTTGAACTGTAAGTCCCACTCTGGAGGTACCTCCTGGGAGAAGAGGGGAGGCTGAGAGGAGGAACGATTTCCAAATAGAGCTATTTTGGAGCCTGTGAATAATTACCTAAAACTCCAATGGGCAGCACCATTCTTGGGAGGTTTCCTGGGTACGGGAGCACCAGAGCAGAACTGCTTCTCTTTTAACTCAGCAGCAGCTGGCTAATTAATGTCGGGATGATGAACAAGTCATGCTTGGGGTAGTAAATGGTTGACTAGCTCTGGAAATGTATTAGAAATACTTACTAGGCCAGATCTTGAGTGAATCTTCTCAGATAGTTGATCCTCATCTATTGCAGGGTAGGGCTAAATGTTTTTCCTTAGTTCATGCACGTGCTTTGTAAGACACCCGTGCTTTTTCGGTGAATGACTGCTTTGCTCTCCAGCAATCGAGGCACCTCTCAGCTCCAATGTGGGAAATGAGATAGTGTTTCTCTTGGGGCACTGGTGGCCTTCAGCCTGCTGAATTATTGATAGAGCATTCAGCACTGTGCTTGAAGAATAAGTGGACATGAAATCAATAAAGTGTTGCCCTGATGACCTGTTTTGTTGAATTTTAGAAATAGTTGTTTGGTGGGTATAAAAATATATATATATATATATATGTAGGATTTGTCCCAGAGGATCTTGGGAAGCTCCATTCATCCTTACCGATGATCAATAGAGCTGTAAGCTAGAAGTGACTTATGAAAGAATAAAGACAGTCTTTCAAGTGGGAGTAAGTGTGTTATCACTGGTGTTACTGCAGTGTATTTTATTTCTGTCAAATTGTTTAATGAAAAATACTAATAGTGATATTAGAAAATAGAGAAACGCCCTTCTGATGGGGAATCTGGCTTGCAGAGTTAAAATGCTGAATTTGGAATTTGTCTCCTCGCTGATTACAGCTCTAAATATTTTTCAAGCCTGGCTGAGGTTTCAAGTTTAATAGTATGAGTCATTTGTATTCTTAGACCTTTACTTATTGTCATTGCACTGTCTGGTAAAACTCAGATTGATGATTGTTACCCTAGAGAGACCCGAGAGTGGAGGAGCAAATGGGGCTGCAGTCCTCAGCTAGAGGCACTGGCAGGGCCTGCAGTAATGGTGAGCCTGCAGATTGATGGGGATACTTCCAACAGGTCTTGTTTTTATGTGGCTTTGTTTCATTTGGTCATGTTTTGTTTCTTCAGGCATATCCCAGGTCTGCCAGCCCAAGTCAGGCTCAAAAGAACAACACCAAGCACAAAGGGAATTGAGGTGCTGCTGTTTGGGCAGCAAAGTGTACTTGTCCCCACCTGATGAAGAATTCATCTGTGTTGTGTTGTCCTGTCCTGCTATGGTGATCCTGACAGGAAAGCTGGTGTACTTGGGGTGGCTTTGGTCACTGTCAGTGTAGTAGTCACTTGGGGACAGTGCTCTGCAGCCCGGCAAATGGGAAGGATCTGAACTACTTGGCTCCAGTTGGAGCTGTGCTCAGAGCAGTTTTCTCGGAGGTAACATGCCCTGATTGATGAAAGAAGTAATGCAGGTAGAAATGGGGCAGACTGGCGGGCTGGTTAGCAGGGAGAGGTGATGGGGTGGGAAAGCAGCACTGATGTGATGTGTGGTGTAGTGTGGGAAGGCTTGGCACCGCATGGGGCTGGAGCCTCGGATGGACCTCTCCTGCCACTGGACTGCAAAAGGGGTCTTGGCAAACAACTCCCTGGCACCAGCTCCAGTGATGAACTTAGACCTACAAATGTGCATGCCCTTAGGCTTTGGCTTGCTGTTGGCTGGGCTAAGAGCCTGGTCAAGTCTCTTTTTTTGGAAGAATTACTTTGTCACTGGTGCTTCCTGACAAATTTTCCCTTGTCACTGAGGACCTTCCATCCACATGAGCACAGGTAGGACAGTCCGTACCAGAACAACATGATGCTGCTATTCCCCAAAGCGTGATGGGAAAGATGTATTTTAGTTGACATCCACTAGGACGTTGGTGTTAATGGGGCAGGCTGATGCGCCTGCAGTGTCCTCCTGGGGCCATGAGACTGTCATGCTGAACTTAGGATTTATTGAAGAGAAGACAGCATGGAGAAGTAGCCTGAGCTACACCTGGCTCTGAACAGATCATTCACATAAAGATGTTAGGAATTAAGGTAAAGACATGTGTTATGTACTGTGGGGTGGTCATGGTCCTGAGTGCTAGAAGGATGGGACCTGTTGCCGAGGAAAAGTAAATCCCCAAGGCGGGCAGAAATGAGTAATGGATGCACAAAAGTTGGAAATGCTGTAATTTTTTCAGAAATGCAGAGGATGGGTGAGTAGAAGACAGTTTTTTGGCACACTGAGCTTCAAGGAGGCTTCCAGAATCTGGGAGGAAGACAGAATACATGGCCCACATAAAGTGAGTGTGAAGCACTGGTGAAAGCTAGAAGGGGAGTTGCAGACTGACATCAGCCAAGGACTTGACGTTGAGCCAAAACTCTCTGGAAAGGAAGAAGGTGGTGAACAGCAGAGACCAATGCAGAAGCAGCAAGCCCGAGGAAGGCAGACTGAGCAGCAGCACTTGTGCACAGCCATGGAGAGGCCAGAAGACCCCAGGGACACATAAATGCTGGCAAGAATCTGCTCTTCTCGAGAGGGTTAGGTCTGCAGGAAGGCTTGGTGGGATGTGCGGGTCTGCAGTGGTTCACCAGACACACCCTGTAGAGTACCAGTGCCCCAGTGCCACCAGGCAATCATGGATCCGGAGGGAGGATAGTCACTGAAGGCAAAACTGTGACTTGCAACGAAGTGGCTTGGAGCAGCGGAGCATGTGGGAAGGGATGTGATGGGAGGATCATCTCCAGGAAAGTACTGGGAGAGGAGAGGAACTACAACTGATGTGACATGGAGATTGGCAGGGAACATGAGACCTGACAAAGCCACTCATGGTGAACATGGAGGAGGAAATAGCAGAAGACTAACGGGAAAATCATGCCACGCTTTGAGAGCAGGCAGGTGGATGGGAACTTGGGCCTTGAAACAGCTGCCTGGCTGCATTAAAGCCATCTCAAGCTCAGGGAGAAGGTATTGCTTTAAAGCAGAGTTTCTTTTCATTTTCAACAGAGCTGAGCTTTTCCCCTGCTGACTCACTGAAGAAAGGCTGGCAAAAATGAGGCATGCTTCCAAAGAATATTATCTCTTTCTTCTCCTGGCCAGAAGCAAGGCTTGGAATGGTTTCCAGTAACTCCAGCCCTAATTCCCACAGCACGGGCTGACCTTGACCAGCAGGGCTTGAGCTAACGTGTGCACAGTTCTCCTAAGTCTGAAGCTGAGTGTGCACAGGGAAGCATCTGACACATGCAACAGCTCATAAACATTAGACTTAGAGCCTTTCTTATCCAGAAGTCACAGCTGGTTTCCTCTGTCATGTCCTTGGCTTCCTTTGTCATGTCCTCAGAGAGCTTAGGGCTGACATTTCAAGAAATTCCTTCCCAGAAAGACCTAAGACTCTGGATCCAATTACATCTTTGGTTGTATAAAACCTTGTAGTCCTGAACATCTTGCTGCTCTGCCCGGCCCATCAGCATTTCTAATACCAGCAGTCCCTGCCAGCTTGCCCTGCAGTAGATTTCTGCAATGCTACAGCAAGAGGCTTTGGTGGGGATGGGGCACAGCAGCATCTCCGTTAATGCTATGAGTCCAACTTAACATCGTCTGTGGCTCTAGCTTAAAAACTTATTGCTGCCAACAGTCACACTAATAGAGTTGTAGCTAGACAGTGGGTACTTGCCTGCCTTCTGCATTAGCTAATCCAGCCATCAGACGCCACGCTTCACTCCCTGTCTGAGTTCTTCCCTTTCTATTCCATCCCTTTCTGGCAGGGGTTTGGAAACAACAGTTCTGGCTGGACAGCCAAGAGAAGCCCTGGTTCTGGGAAATAAATATAAATGAAAAACAAAAATAGATTTTGTTCTCTCTCTGCTGGGCGCTTTTTGGTTCTCAAGGTTAGGGAAGCGGTATCAGTCCCAAGGTAGGAGAGTGTCTTAATTGTAAGTGTATGAAACCTCAACAGCAGCTTTATGTGAATCAAAACAGACAGGAGAAGTGTGGCAAGGATCTCCACTGCCCTCTGAGAGGCTTTAGCTGCTGACAGCTTTGTTTTAGCTGATGAGTGGGGAGGCATGGGATGGGGCGTGCATGTCTTTTAGCTGCCTAGCCTGAAAAAAACTTGCTCTGTGTGTGTCCTGTATGTCCCTGTACATACTGGGATGCTGATGGCACCCCTCTCCTGCAGTGGTCCACCCTGGTGTAGGCTGTCCAGGCAGTTTTGGGAGGCAGTGGGTACAGCTTTCTGTGGGAAGCAAAGTTGGGCTTAGCCAGGCACTTGAGGTATGCTGTCTCTGCAGAACTGACTTTGTGCCCACATGGCTCTAGTGTTTTGGCTCTGTCATCGTCCCCCTGAATGACAATGCAGGGCATGGTTGTCCCAGCTTTCCTCTGTCCCAAACACAAGCCCTGCTGTGCACCTGCTTCTTGAAGGGGCTGTGGGTGGAGCACACCCTGCTGCAAGCCTGTGCTCTGCTTGGGACTGGTGGCTGGCTCTGGCTCATGTGCAGGTTCAGTCCATTTTTGGGCCAACTCCTCAGTGCAAAAAGCAGAAATGCTTGTGCAGAGAGAGGGCAGTTTGCTTGTGGCTGTGATAGTTGTTATTTCTCACAGGCGTTTTCAGTTTTTAATGAGGCCTTCAGAAGGTGTGGGAGTGTGTGCAGCTCCTGAGTGCCTGTAACCAAGCGATTCTTTGGCAATATTTCCAGGCTAAGGCTACATGCAAAAAATGCCCTTTGGGTTTAATTGTCCTCTCTGGGAGTAAGCTGTGCTGGATACACCTCAGGACAAAGAGCCCCTTGCCTTAATTCTCACTGCGGTGCTGCTGCACCCATTAACAGCAAGACCTCTTGGCTGCCCCACCGTGCCTTTCAGCACCAATTTTTATTCTTCCTGCTGTGATGGGAGATGTCTCTGCAGCACATGGCGATGCTTTCTGACCTGACAGTGGGTTTTGGCCAAACGGCACCTTGTGTTCCCCAAGGTGCTTCTCCTCCTTGAAGGAGAAGGGAAGCAGAGGGTTGTTGTTGGTGGGACGTGTTACAGAAGTCATGGTAGCTGCAGCTCCTAATGACCCCTGCAAACCCTGAGCCTGGGCCAGTGATGGGGTTTGAGGAGAGAGTTGGAGGTTTGGGTTTTTGGGCAGGTGCAGGACAGTGTGAGCATGGAAATCCCTGTGCACCTCTCTGGAGAGCTGGCTGGCATGGCAGACGCCGAGCTAGGAGGGAGGGCATCTCCCATGTGTCAAGAGTGCTTCTGCAACGCGTGCTAGGGAAAATGGGTGCACACATCTGTGCCCCTTCTACCTGCAGTGCCATGCCAGCTGCTGGAGATGGGAGTTAATTTGTGCAAAAGCCCCTGTGGGGTTCTCGATTAGAGCAAGTTACGTCACTGATGTTGGGGCAGGTTGTGGGTAAGTTCTGCCCTGAAGCACACTGCTCCTGTATTATTCATGGGCCTTCATGAATTAGCAATGGGCAGGGAAGGCTGCTGTCTGTTACTTACAGAGCCGCCCTTAAGTGCTAGGACAGTGGCTCTCCCCGGCAGCCTTGTTCCGAGAGGATATTTGCAACGGGGCAGAATTTCTCCCCTGTTGCCTCTGAGCTCCCCTGGGTCCGAGGGTACAACTCCAGTTACCTGACCTGCCATTAGCTGAGCCCATGGCCCTTACCCATGTGCCATCTCACATCCTGCTGGTAGCAGTGACCCTGGGAGAATCCCAAGGAGAACATGGATTCATGGCCATGCTGAAGAGGACGCAAAGCCTGCGTGAGGCACTGGAAGTAACTCGTCATAGTGTGCAGGGAATGCCTCGTCATTCAAATCCCACCAAATCACTGCACTAAGCTGCTCTGCTCTGTTAAATTTAGTGCTTTGGCCTTTGAGTCACTTGTCTGAGCCTTGTACCTGTCTTGCAAATGTTTAGGTGCTTTTGACAGGAAAGGAATGAACCAGGGAAAAGCCATAGAGTGAAGTCTAACTCAGTGTTTGTTCTAAGAAAAAAGAAAAAAAGTCAGAAAGCATCTTGTACTGTGAGGATATGCAAAGTGGCATCATCAGGGTTCAGGTTTAACACCCCTGGGTGCTACCAGAAGATCGCTTCTCCTCCTCCTCCTCTTGCAGTACTGTATGGATGAAAGAGCGGCTGTGCATGTTTGCAAGGTTGTTTCCAAATCCTATTAGTCAGTGGAATTAATTTTGTAAAAGCCTGCATGAATTTTGCAATAATATGTGGAACGGACCAGAAAAACAGCTTCCCACTGTATGACAGGGGGCTCTAGCTGTTGCGTGAAGCAATGGTTTGGCCTTTGGAGATGCCCTTCTGCTTCGGCGTGACTGAGCTCACCTTTTGCAGCCCCGGCACTTCTGGTCCCTACTTTCTTTTTATCATGGTTATGTGGGGAGATATTTTGTTTGTTCAGGCTGTATCTCCTGTTATGCTCAAGTTCTCATTGCAAACCATGTTCGTAACTCAGTCTGTCCTGGCTGAGCACTGGGCTCTCATCCCTGCTAGGACCTGCCCTCCTTGCATCACCACAGAAAGCTGCAGGGCTTTAAAAATGTAAATTAAATGGTTAATAGGTTGGAAAATCAATTATAATAAACATTCCTGGTATATAAACTGTATGTAACTGTTTTAAAAGAAGTACATTAAAGGCAGTGTTTTTTTTTCCATTTCTCCTAGCCAGGTCAGCAGGGTCTCAGTGCAGGGCTGCTTGATTTGATTAAAATGCATAATACCCTGCGCATTAGCTTGTGCCCTGGGTCACCAGGAGGCTGTGTTTGTACAAGGTACTCAGGAGAAGAGCTGCCAGCTTCACTGAGTGCTTGTGAGGGCTGGAGGTGTGCTTTGCCCATCAGGGTTTTGGACACCCACTGAAGTGGGGTTTGATAACATGAATCAATACTTTAGGATAGTGGGGAGCTGCCGGCTTCTTTGCTGTGGGATGAATGTTTTGGGTGTCCGAACAGCACTGCTGTGGGACCCAGCTGCAGATGTGCAGATCTTGTGGTGAAAGACATTGTGTGTATCCATGTGCTGCCCTGGGAGATGTAAAACCTTGTGTGCGTGCATGAAGGAGACTGTGTGAATGCATGGATGTGTAACTCTGGTCTCTTTGGAGTCAGGAGAGATGCAGGCAACGTGTGCCAGAAGACCCCAGGCAAATAGTGTGGAGGAAGTTCTCCCCTAGCTCTAAAGGGCCCCTTGCACCTGCATGGTGGCCGTCCTCCTCAGGGAGCTCGGAGCCAGGCGGTGGCCCTGCTTGTCCTTCCCCACCCCACCATCCTTTCTCACGCTCTCTCTGCCTGTAGGAGACTAGAGAGGAACCTTTTTAACTGCAGCTGTGACATCCGCTGGATCCAGCTCTGGCAGGAGAAGGGCGAGGCGAACCTGCAGTACCAGGAGCTCTACTGCATGAATATGGATGCTGCCATCATCCCTTTGCAGGAGATGAACATCACCCAGTGCGGTAAGGCACAGCCCGCACTGGGGTCCCGGGGCTGGGTGCAGGGGAGGGCAGGAGGGTGCAAGGAGGAAGCCCTGTCCTGTCTGGCACCTCTGATTCAACCATTTGCTTGGGGAACCTGATGTAGTAGAATCCCACCATGTGATCAAGTACAAGACAATTGAAGATGATTAGGGTAGCTTGTGGGTTAAAAATAGAATATCTGTGTAAGTGTGGGGCTGGTAGCTGTATGAGTGAAGGTATCAGGTGATTTGGGGCATTTCCTTCACTATAATGCTGTTGCTTGACAAAGTGTGTGCGAAGAGTCTGTGTGATGTCTTGAAAAAGGATATGTTTCATGTTGCTCTTCTTCCGTCTAACAAATCCTAGAAACAGTATGTTGTTAAAAGGTGCTGTCACCTTATCTTTCATAATTACTCTTAGGAAATGCACATCTGTGTTCATTTTCTTCTGTTTTATTTTTTCAATTGAAAGCCCATGTCTGTAGGGAAGAGGTAGGAGTGAATTTATATCTCTTTCAGGAGCAACATGAGGCATATTCAACATTTATCCCTTTTTCCTTCACCTTGTCCGTGCATCAGCTGCCTGTTTGGTGTCAGTTTTTGCTCTGCTATTGCCATTACTGGAAAGCATCCTTGCAGAGTAAGGAGAAGGAGGTGTACCTTCAACAGAACAATTACACTGTCTGTAAACAAGCAGCTGTCAAACTCACGGGCTGAAAAAAGGAGGAAAACCAGAGGGGATTTTTTTGTGATGAATGTTCTCTGTTCTAGGAACTTGCGTTTCTTTCTTGCAGCAGTAGTAGACAAACAGCATACACATTTGGCTTTCTATGATTTTTAAATTTTTTTTTCAAGTTCACGATGTTCCTTTATTAAGCTCTGGAAACTGGCCAAAGTGTGCCTGCATATGGATGAACTAAAAAGATTTGAGAGTGCTGTTATTTCCTCCCCGCATGGGAAGAATAATCTGCAAGGATTAAAGGGAAAAAAACCAATCCTTAGGGATCAGGGACAGTAGGAGAAGGTGACTCCATCAAAGGTGGCATTAGACTTGAAGTGACAGCAGGGTGCCGATTGGGGAACACAAATATGCTGGTGTGCAGGGTGAGCACCTCCTCTGACCCCACAGTCTGCTGGAAGGGAAAGAATCTGTCACGCTGATCTGCTTTCCTCCAGAGGAGATTTTTTCTGCTCAAGTATTAACATGACTCGAGGGATGTTGTGACAACACCCCATTTGTCTTTGTCCTTCGGTGCTGAGGGCTGGCGTGGCTTGGTGTGGCCATGTTTGATACCAGCTCAACCAAGCGAGACCATACATGTCCCTCCCATCTCCCTCTCTGCTGATTCCTGACATCTATACAAGCTTGCCAGGCCTTGGTCACTGCCTCCTTTCTTCTGACATCCCCTCAATCAGTGTGATGTTGCTTCCCTCCTGGCGTCACTCCCTGATGGCAATGAAAGCATGTGTATCCCCATCCATGGCTTTGGGTCAGAACGACGGCTGCTGCTGTCCTACAGTGGTGTGTGACTGATGGTCGGTTCCACCCTGCCCTGCCTACCCAATTTACCTCTACGAAGGGCCCAGAAAGCCTCCTCCACGCAAGAAGACTGTTTGCCCTTCTTCTTGCAACCAGCACTGTCTTGTTTTGTGTTGAAAGGATATTTGACGCCCGTGGTGGCGAGTAAGGAAGTGGTGTAAATCAGAGCCACCATAAATCAGTGAATACCTCTGCTACCACTGAGGAAGAACAAGGGCACCGTTTATTAGGAGAGCTGCTTTTAATATGAGGACACATCCTTGGTCATCTTCTCTTGATTGTTCTAAATTAGAGGCACAGTCTTCTTGCCTGCAGTGCTGGGCTTTCTCTTCTTTGTCCCTGGAGGTGGGAATGCTTTGGATCCTCTCCCAGCACATGCAGTTTTCCCATCCCGAGTGACTGCCCTCAAAAGCAGCTTCTGTGGGAGTAGAAGAGGTGGAGAAAGGGGTTTTTGTGAAGGGAAGGGCAGCCAGAACTGGACACCAACTCTTGGATTTGAGTGTGATGGGAGGGTCTGTTCAGCTGGCACATCTCAGGTGTTCATATTTTCCCTCGTCTCCAAGCCTCATCTTTCCCTTGGTAGGGCAAGGCCATACTGTTGCCTCCTGCTACTTATCCCAGGGTGCTGGAGGCTGATTTTGGGAAACAGCTTGGCATGATCAGAGTCTACTCGTGTGCACCCAGCAGCTGGCTGTAGCAAATGCTGCTCAGCACCTGAGCGCTTTGGTGTCTGGCTCTCCTAGACCTCCCTGAGATCAGTGTGAGCCATGTGAACCTGACAGTACGGGAAGGTGAGAACGCCGTCATCACCTGCAATGGCTCTGGCTCGCCGCTGCCCGACGTTGACTGGATGGTGGCTGATCTCCACTCCATCAACACGCACCAGGTAGGGGCTGCAAGACCTCAGTGGTGTCTCTGCCCAATGTGGTAAGGGCAAAACACCTACCAGGGGTTCCCTCAATCTGTGCAGGCAGGACAGAGGGTCAGGTGTATGGTGGCGACTGCTATGAGAAATGTGAAAGGGCTGTATCCAAAAGAAATTCGAGGTCATACAGTATCCAAGTGAGAACCTGGCAATGACCTGAAGGTAACAAAATCTTTCTTCTGTATGGCTGGGAAGTAGAGATGAGATAGATTCATATCTCAGAGCTCCCTAATTGAATTAACTTGTGTCTCCTCTAATGAAACCACCTGTTTACAGAGGTGTTTGCAATAGCTGTAGCTGAAATGGGCAGCTATCGAGATTTTGTAGAGGCAAGTCATATTTATCAGTGCCACAATGCTGCAGCTCTCATCCCAGTAGATATTCTTATAGGAAACAATTCCCTTCACCCAGATCCTAGTTGTCTTGGATTTTTGAGACCTTCTTGCATCTTGTGGAAACTGGGATCCTCAGCTACTGGGGGCAGGAGCAGGGATGAGAGAAGCCAATGGACACTTACTTCTGTCTGTATTTCTCTCTGGGATTTTTAGACCAACCTCAACTGGACCAATGTTCATGCCATCAATTTGACCTTGGTGAATGTCACCAGTGAGGACAACGGGTTCCTGCT